GTCATTTAAAAAACAGGAAAGAAAGAAACTACCAAAATGGATGTCAGAAGAGACTCTGAAACTTGAGCAAATGGAAGAAATGAGGAGGTAAAAGAGCTGAACACAAAATTTCAAAGGGAGCTCAAGAAGAAAAAGTTAAGCATTATAATGAAATGTGCAAAGCCCTGGACTTAGAAACCCAAAAGGGAGAACATGCTCAACATTTCTCAAGCTGAAAGAACTGAAAAATGATTCAAGCCTCAACTTGAAATACTGAAGGAATCTATGTTCAACCATTTCAAGCGGTAGCACTTGACCAAGAATCAGTGGTACTAAAGAAAGAAGTCCAAACCACACTGTAGGCATTGGTGAAAAACAAGGCTCCAGGAGTTGACAGAATACACATTGAAATCTTTCAACAGACTGATGCAGCACTAACTCATCTATGCCAAGTAATTTGCAAGACAGCTGCCTAGCCAACTGATTGGAAGAGATCCATTCCAAAAAGAGGTGATCCAATAGACTTCAAAAATCAACTAATATCATTAATATCACACACAAGTAAAATTTTGCTAAAAATAATTCAAATTGGTTGCAGCAATACATAGAGTGATAACTATCTGAAATTCAAATCAGATTCAGAAGAGGATACGGAATTAGGGATAAACTGATGATGTCAGATAGATCTTGGTGAAAAGCAGAGAATACCAGAAAGATGTTTACTTTTGATTTATAGACTATGCAAAGGTTTTTTACTGTACAGATCATGAAAGACTATGGTTAGCATTGCAAAGAATGGCTAGTCTAGAAGACTTCACTGTGCTCATAAGGAGCTTGTATATATAGACCAATCAAGTAGACGTGTAGTGAGGAGCTTAGTCAACAACAACATGGAATACCGACCCAAGAGGGCTCACGAGATGGTGTTGGAACTCTGAAACAAATATAAAGGTATGTTTGGAGGATCGAAAAATCGGAGAGTTTACAGCTGGGGAATTTGCAGGAGAATCCAGAAATCCATTGTTTTCTGGATCAAGACACTCAGTTCCTGGAGAGAATATCTTGATTGTATCAGGATTGATAGTATCAGGAGAGAATATCTTGATTGTATATTGATTATATCAGGATTGTATCGAGATTGACATCGAAATTTAAAGTGACATTTTGACATAAAACCAAATGGCCCACCACTCGTCTGTCTGTCGTGCTACGGTGGATTGAGTTTCTGTGATTCCGAGGGCTCTGCCACCGGTATTTTAAATAACCAGCAGGGTCA